CTCAGCCTCCCAAGTAGCTGGGACTACAGGCACCCACCATGATGCCTGGCTATTTTTTTGTTGCAGTTGTTTAGCTGGCCCGGGCTGGGTTCAAACCAGCTACCCTCAGTGTATTTGGCTGACACTGTAACCACTGTGCTACGGGCACCCAAGCCATTCATTCATATCTTCACAATCTTGGGATTGTTAGTGATGATAGTAAGAGAGTCAACAGCTGAGTGTTACAGACAAGACAACTTGTTGGGTACGGTACTGAAAAAGTGTTACCTCACTGCACCTCAGAGCCACCCAGGAGGTGGGGGACTCCCCATCTTGTGGACACAGAAGCAGGCTAGGGGAGGCCGGCTACTTCACCAGGTGGCAGGATCTAACCAGGGGTCCTCAAACTTTTTAAACAGGAGGCCAGTTCACTGTCCCTCAGACCGTTGGAGACCCGGACTGCGGGCCCTGGGTCAAGATGGCTGCTAAGCAGGACAGGCAGCGGTGGCAAAAACACCTAGCAAGCCAGATAAATGTCCTCGGCGGGCTGCATGTGGCCCGTGGGCCATAGTTTGAGGACGCCTGATTAAACCCACATCTCTCTGACTCCAAAGCCCACGCTTTTAACCACCACACGTTCTCTCTCCTTCCACATTAATGATTTTGTTGTATTTTTGCCCTCTGCTTTTTCCATTGGAATTACGGGGTTTCTAAAATTATACCTGTAGAAGCAATTCAGGAATAGACAGCGACAGGAGTTCAATGTTTAGTGGTGGTCTAAACCCCATAATATGCGATGTTCTACCCTTTTTAAGAGAGGAAGAGCCCCAAGAACATGTTGTTTACCCCAGAAAGTAAGAGGGAGAGATCCATTCCTCAAATACCCAAAACACAAACATAAGAAAGTAGATCTATTATGTCATCTTGAAACAACCATCTACTGCAACTTGAGTGTTATTTGGATAAAATGAGGCTATGTGAGTGGAATAAAATCATTCCAAAGTGATGCCTTATTGTGCCGGTCAGCAGGTCTGTTGCTGTACTATGCCTCACAGTGGCCTGGAATTGGCTATTTGTATTCCTGTCTGAAAGCTAAGGAAGGAAAACCCTAGAGCAGTGGTTCTCAACCTTCCTAATGCCTGTTAATGCAGTGACTCTTTAATACAGTTCCTCACGTAGTGGTGACCCCCAACCATAAAATTATTTTCATTGCTACTTCATAACTGTAATTTTGCTACGGTTATGAATCACAATGTAAATATCTGATAAGCAAGGTGCATTTTCATTGTGACCCACAGGTTGAGAGCTGCTGCCCTAGCTGTTTGGTGTCTACCCCATGCTCATGAAAGTGATGGCACCGGGGCTATTTGGAGGACCCATCTCAGCTCTGACTCTTTGCCCCTCATGGCTTTCCAGATACTGACTCTGCTACTCTCACATGGGTTTCTTTGCTTTAAGTAATCTTTATAACCATATCACTCCTAATCCCACCACTCAAGAGAATCTCTGCTATCATTTTAGTGGCTATCCTTCCCAGACTTCTTCATATCTAGATTTCTATTCGTGTTTTTTATTAAAGTAGAATCATACTGTACAGACCATATTAGAAATTCATCTACATTACTTACGGTACATCAGAAGCATCTTTTCACATCATTAATTATTTGGCCTCTGCATTAATTTAGTAGTTATAGAATACTCATCTGTACTTTTCTTCTGGTTTCTTATAAAACAGACTTTTATGAAGGCTAGCTTTTAAAAATGGTTGCCATCAGGCAGCACCTGTGACTCAAAGGAGAAGGGCACCAGCCCCATATACCGGAGGTGGTGGGTTCAAACCCAACCCTGGGCAAAAACTGCAAAAAAAAAAAAAATGGTTGCTATCACTTTTCAAAAGTAAAATTAGGTAGCTCTTAGCTTGAAACAGTAAAATTACTCTGATATCTTTGAATTACACTGATTGTTTTATTACCTAAAAAAAAGAAAAAAACAAAAAAAGCCAGAGCTTTCTGTGTAGAAGCTCTGGTCCTGGTCATTAGGAAATGAGAGCTGAGGAAGGGGAGCCTTCAGTGGGACCAGAAGCCCCACCCATCGGGGGGGTCCACCTTCCTGACCAGTGGGATAAGGGCCACCAAGGTCCATGTGGCAGCTGTGCCTGCATCTTAGCCCAATGTCTTTCCTCTCCCCAGCAGACCCGCCCATGGCTGCAGCAGTGGTGTCACATTTTAATGACTGCCCAGATTCCCACACTCAGTTCTGTTTCCATGGAACCTGCAGGTTTTTGGTGCAGGAGGACAAGCCAGCATGTGTGTAAGTATGCCCAGGTCTCCTGGAGTTCTGGGGCTGGGGGTGGTCTAGCATCCAGGTAAAAGAGCATTTACCTCCACAGGGCTTGCCTCTGAGACCCTGGAGCCAGATGTCTTGGAGGATCAGAACAGCGGGGCTGAAGGATACCTGTTTCAAAGCCAGCTGGCTAAATATCCAGGTTCCTCAGCCTCCACCGCAGAGCCACTGAGGCAGAACACCTAGAGTTTAGAGCTTGAGGCTCTGTATTTTTAACAAACATTTCAGATTCTGGGTTCAGCAAAATCGTAAAATTTCTGGATTAGAGTTTAAATCACTACTTAGAATTTCTGGAAGGCAGAACTCTGGGCTGGATGCCTTTGAGTGGCCTAGAGTCTCTAAGATGAGGTCTCTGCCTTCCAACATCTTTGCAGCCTCACTAATCAAATGAACTGGAAATGCATGCAAGGGGCCAGTGTGCATAGTATTCACAGAACAAGCAGCAACTTAGAAATAAAGTTGCATGCCAGGATACGGTGGTTTCCACACCTGCCCAAGCATCACCTCCTGGTGGTTTCTTAAAGTATTGCTTAGCCTCACCTTGACCTATGGAGTCAGAATCTGCAGGGAGGGGACCTGAGAATGACATTAGTTAAGAGCCATGGAGATTGCCATGATCAGCCAGCTTAGGGAAGAAAAGCACTGGAGGAAAGCTTCCCGGAGCAGGTGTTAGGCTTTGACTAGTCGGGAGGGCAGAGAAGTTTCCCTGGTCTGGAGTGTCCACAAACCTGTTCTTATAGGGCAGTGTGGCCACAACAGGGAGGAGAGATGGGGCAAGTTGGAGACCAGAGTTTGTTGGAAGTGGGCCTTCATTCTCTTGGCAGTGGGAGCCAGGTAAGTTTTAGAAAGAGATACTTGAAGATAGTTAATCTGTCAGTAGTGGAATACTAGCAGGTGGGCCTAGACTCAGCCTTGGCACCACTGACATTTGGTGCTGGGTGGCTCAGATGTGAGGACTGACCCATACATTGAAGGACACTAACAGTATCCCTGGCCTCTACACATAGATGCCAGTGGCACCACCACCCCTGGTCCTAACAATCAGAAATGTCTCCTGGTGGGGCGCAATGGCTCACACCTGTAATCCTAGCACTCTGGGAGGCTGGGGTGGATGGATTGCTTGAGCTCACAAGTTTGAAACCAGCCTGAGCAAAAGCAAGACCCTGTCTCTAATAAAAATAGAAAAACTGGGGCAAGAGGATCACTTGAGCCCAAGAGCCTTGAGCTGTGACACCACAGCACTCTACCCAGGGCAACAGCTTGAGACTCTTGCTAAAAAAAAAGAGAGATTAAAAATGTCTCCAGATATTATCAAATGTCCGTACAGGGCAAAATCACCTCCAGTTAAGAACCACAGAAACATGAAATTGCCATTTTTATAGGTCAGAAGTGGTTGGAAGTCAGCAATTTCAAATGGTCCAACCAAAAGCACCAGTAAATAATACTAAATGTTAAAAAAAAAAGGCAATTAATGAAGGTTTGCCCCCGGCCAAGCAACGGTTCAAAAAAAAATTCATGGCACTTACTAATTTAATCCTCATGACGACCCCACAAAGTAAGCACAGATCGCACGCACAGCTCATAGGGCAGAGCTTAGATTCACAGCCAGCCTCCCAGCTCCTGGAGCTGCCTGGGTCCGGGAGAGTGGGCGGGGCTTCTCCCTGCTGCGGTGCAGCTGCGAGAGCCTGGGCGGGGCCCTCAGAGTGCCTCAGAGCCTGAAGGGGAGAGGAGGGCTGGCCACCTTCCTCCCCGGAATGTCTAGAGCTAGGAATGTCCCTCAGATGAAAGGCCTTCCCCACCCTGTGAATACAAAGCATGACGATGACAGATGCTGTTATTATTCATGATTATCATTCTTATTAATAATTAATAATTAACACATTAGGGGCCCCTGGGGGACTGAAGGCATTGTTTTCATTAGTGCCCTGGTCATTGCGGAAAAACACTGGCCCTGAAAGAAGTTTGGCCTCTCGACCCAGATAGCAGGAAGCCTCCCAGAGCAAGAGGCAGGAGGCACTCTCCCCACCACAGCCTGGCACATAGGCCTCACCTGCACCAGACTGGGAGTTGGGAGGATCCTCTTTAGAGAGAGAGGGCGAGTCTTTACCAAGTTCTGATCGAAAGTAGGTCAGAAACTCAGTTTTTCCTCCTCAGGTGCCCTCCCCACCAGATCAGGGACTGGTGTAGACTTTCAGAGAGCCGGCAGCCTGGAGCCTGGGCCAGTGGACAAGTGAGGCAGTGAGCATATCTGTGGCTGAAGCCCCACCCGCCTCACCTTCTAACAGCTAAGGTGGACGCTGCCCTCTGTTCTCCTCAGTCTGGGAACCTTGCTCTTGGTCCAAGGGAGATAATTATCCATCACATTTACACATCATTAGGTTTTGGTAGATGTCTTCCTCCCTACTTTGTAAACTACAAATTTATGAATCTTGCTGTTAATAGCAAGCTCTCTGTAAAAGCTTACTTCGTATCCAGGCATGGTACTCAGCGCATCCTCGCAGCCCCCCTCTCAGTAGGGATTATCGCCCTTACTATATAAATGAGAAAGAAGTTGAGCAACTTGCCCAGCGTCCCAGAGCTAATCATTCCAACCCCAAAGCCCGTGCCCTCACCTACTTACTGCCCTGAGCCTGCCTCAGCCTGGCAAAATTCACCTCAAATCACTAAGCTCTTTGTTTCCAGGAAAGGTGCTGGCATCATCCCCCTCCAGGTAAACCCTTCTCCAGAGAAAGGTGGGGGTCATTCCCCAGCTCAGTACTCTGATTACAGACTCTTAAGATTTGCCTGTGGGCCAAGTACAGGGTCCGCAGAGACAGGCAGGAGATGCTGACAGCTGGAAAATGTGGATCTGGGGGAGGCATAGCTGTGCAAGCAGTTACCGCCGAGGTACTGCCTCTTTACCTCAGTTTCCCCACTGAATCTTGGTGGCTCCAGGGTGGTATTCAGCACAAAAGACGTGTTTTATGTGGCAGTAGGACATGACCCACATTGTTCTGTTGTGGCTGTCATTTGTCCTCGTGTTAGAAGGCAGGGTCCATGTCTCCATGCCAATGACCTGCCTCCCTTGAACAAGCAGGAGAATGGCAGCGCCAGGCCTGAACACCCACATGCAGCCACTTGGCTCGGACTCAGATGTGCCCAAAGAGGACTTGCCCTCCCCAGTTCTTCATTCTCCACCTGTCCCCAACATGCTCTGACACCAAAGCAGAATGTTGGTCCTCAACTACCTGTTGCCACAGCTGTTCTGCTCACACCAGCTCACCTGGCTTACTCCACGTGACCCCTGAGGCTTGTGTGGTTTGGCCCCTAGATAGGGTCCTCTGCAGACCCCTACAGCTCTGACAGGGCAGGGTAGTAGGGATCTGAGGATGAGGCACCTTCCCACCCTCCCTAATCCTGATGCCCGCGAGTAAGCTCTGGGAAGACAGGATCACGCCTTCTACCTTTTTGTATCTTCAGTACCTAGAAGAATATTCTGATTAATTCCCACTAGACCAGTGAGTCCGTGCGAACAAAGATGAACATTCTGTCCCTGCTGTTGTGAACCGCCCCAGCTTGGGGAGCTGACATATACACATTCTAGTCAATAAAACTGACATTCCTTGAGGTAAGGACCCATCTGTCATGCCCTTATAAAGAAAAGCCACAGTGAGCCAAGATTATAGTCTCAAAGGAGATCTTTTTTTAAAACATTGTCAGTCTTAGACTTTGTCTTCCATAAGAACAATAGTCTTTTAAGTTTCCAGAGAACTTAAAATGACACATTAAAAAGTGAGGGGGGGAATAACAATCTGAAATATTTATGCTTCAGATGAACCCTAGATTATATGTTACCGCTCCCTCTAATAAATCTTGGCTAGTACCTGACCACATCAGAAAACAAATGGGAAAAGAATTTCCAAAGACAGTCAAGCTATAGAAAGGCAAACATCACTTTTTCCCTGAGGCAGATTCTTCAAACTGCTGGTCCGCTGCCTGCAGAAGCCTTCAAACAAAGGAAAACAGTTACAGGAAGCCAGCCAGGTGACAGGTTTTCAAGATTCTAGGGTAGGCAACCAGTTTGAAGTTTCCCACCTGTCCAAAATGCTCTCTAGTGACTGAACTCTCTGACAACTTTCCCACAGCGAAGTGTGAAAACACATTGCTGTCAGCCAAGGAAAACATTCCACATGGCCGTGGCCACAGGACGTTCCAGTGGAATCCAAGCAGAGTTAAATACTCAGAGAGACCCGACCACCCTCAGCGCATAAGCAGGCTGCCCATGGGACCAAGGGATCAGGAGGGGGGCAGTTTTCTTATTGGTAGCTAAGTTACTTTATGTAGATCAGCTGTCATCTCAACAATCAGCAGGTGTAGATCAGGGTTTACAACGTATGACATCACTCCCTTCCACGCCTAAAGAAAGTACATACCCTCCTCTCTTCCTAGCCCCACCAGAGGCAGATAGGGTCACATACCAAACAGGAGGATGCAGCAGTGAAAGACATGGATTGTAGAGGAGACAGACCTAGCCAGGTCTCTTATGCAAGTGACTTAACCCTATAAGCCTCAATTTCTTTGTGTACAAAATAGAGGTACTTAGACTTCATAGGATTGTAATCAGGACCCATTGACAATGATGCCTATAGAGCAATTGCTCTTAAGACAAGAGCCACTAGACATATGGGACTATTTAATTGATTTTGTTGATTATTTAATATTTAGTTTCTCAGCCTCACTGGCCACATCTTAAGCATTCAGTGCCTCAAGGTGGCTAGTACTGTATTTGACCACCCAGATACAGACCCTTTCTGTCATCTTTATAGGAAGTTCTATTAGCCAACACTGAAGAACATTTGGACCCAGTTCCCAGCACAGCTTAAGAGCTTCGGTGTTTGCTGGTGTGGCTGCTGTCAGCACCATCACTGTGGCTGAGGGACATTGTCCTGCTGAAAGGAGTATAAAAGTAGGACAGACCATGGAACCCA